GAACGTCACTGAAGGCCTTTGCATTGTAATTGATGTCTACACTGAGGTTTGAAGCAACTGTATCTATCATTTTTTCGCGCCAAAATTCTCAATGATCCCATTCAATTTATGATTTCGCGGCAAGAAACAATGCAATTGAGCTACCATGAATATTGACTAATTGGCCAATAAAAACCCTTCGTTTTCTTGCAATTGTTCCTGTCATTCGTTGCTGAGACGAAACTTTCGGCCAATAGTATATGTGTATCTATCATTTTTTCGCGCACTGTACATAGGGCCGGTTTACTAAATTCAATAGATTAGTAAAATCTTGTCTATCGCAACTACTGATGTTTATTCCTCTGAGATGACATACTAGTATTGTAAGATTTAGAGGTTCATGATATAAGCTACAAGATGCACCACTCTGCGCAAAATCGCGAAAACAATTCAAGAGATATTACGTTTTACGCAATATTCTGATTGTAATTGGTAATAACTACAGGACATTTTGTAAAATACACTCAATTACCAACTTGTACACTCGTGAAAAAGGTTTGAATACTTTGTCTTGCGTCCTTGAAGTTGCGGTACTTGAATGCAGCGAGATTGCATCGACCGGAGGAGCTGATCAACATTTCTTGGTCGAGGGTGTCCCTCTCGCGTTGAATCGCGAAGATAAGCTCTTTCTTCGAACGGAATTGCCTACAATTGTCGTAAACTGTTTGGACAAGTACCCAACAAAGGTTTTCGATGGGGTTGAGGTCAGGCGAAAGAGATGGCGATTCCATCGTTACCACACCTTTGTCATGCAAACACGACGGCGTCTCGTGCGACGTGTGGATTGAAGCGCCGTCTTGATGAAAAGGCCGTTTCTGCCGTACCACTTGTCCATAGAAGGCATCAAGTTCAGTTTTAGCGTTGCCGAACACACGTCGCTGTCCTGGCGACCGTCACGAAACCCCAGACTTGTCGTGTCGTGCGCCGAAAATACACCCCAGATCATGACTACGCCGCCACCACCTTGACGCTTGGAGTAAATCTCCTTTGCAATGCGCAAATCATGCCAATAATATTGCCAGCCGTCGGGGCCATCAAGGTTGAAATTCTTCTCATCTGAAAAGTTGCATCGCGACCACTCCCACATACTCTACGTCACCTATGAAGCAGCCCATCTTACACGATTTTCCATATGATCGTCGGTGAGCTGTGGCAAGGCGTTGCGCTTCACGTATCGCAGGTTAGGGTGGGAACTAAGGAGAGCTCAGACACGTCGTGACATTAGGGGCAACGCCAAAATGCTGGTGAGTATGGAAGAGCTAAACTGGCCGATGGCGGAACAATTGTCGCTGATCGGAAGATTACAGCATTGATAGTATTCCCATGCGCTTCTTCTTGCCATAGCTGTTGGACCTCGCCAAGAGGCTCCGTGGGCGTCCAATGTGCCGTTTGATATCGTCAATTGACAATCTGTCACCTTTAGGTGCAGGATCGTGAACTTCTCTTCGCCCGAGAGTTGCGTGCCTCGTGGTATGGTTGGGCCTACGAAGGCACATGACAATGATCGAGTTCAGAACGGCGAATCGATTGATGTATCTTGAAGCATGATGGCTTGCTTCTTGCGGAGGAAATGTCAAATGTCCTATATATATTTCCTACATCTGATTCACATATCAGGAATACGGAGGGTAAATTTTGCGGGCCGAGTCCAAATGATGCGCGGGAAGCTTGAAAGTACCCGCGCTCGGAGCCCTGTCAGTTGGTCCGATTTGCAGGTCCGTCATTTTGACCTATCTTCGACGATTTATCTGAAATATTCGACATGTCCTATAATAATTTCCACCGCTCTATATTCTTTCAACATTCATGAGTACTTGTGAAAGATGAGATTTGTTGAACGTCAGTGAACAATACTTCCTCTGTTTCACATTACTGTTACAATTCGGAAACTCACTTTTTCCACATTACTGTGAACAAATGAAAACTGTTGGCTCATATAGGATAACTGTGATCCTATTGGTAAAAATTTCCTAGCCTACGTATGGACGCGAAAAATCCCAGGTCCAAAACATTCAAATCGGGACAATTGGGCGGTTGTTTGCGAATCTTGAACGTCCACCCGTCAGTAGACATGCCTTCGAGCACAGCGTCCGTGATGCTTCCATGTGGAGTCGCGTTGTCGTGTTGCAGAAGAACTTGCTTCGACGCACTGGAGAATGACGCCTTGATGACAGGTATGACCTTGTTGATGACGAAATCCAGGTATACAGCGGCGTCAACTTTGACCAACTTGGTGACCATAGTCCCAGCCGGGCGATTGCGCGAGTTGCGAAGAGCAGGGACTTGTTGCACGAATGGCCACAATCCAATCTTGCCACTGAATACCACACACACCCCGTTCGTCATCAATGCGTGGTCGTCCAACAGCACAAAGGAACATGACCTTTGGAATGAAGCGCTTGCTTTTCCAAGAGCGCCGTGGTGACGCTTCACCAGGGGCAAGGAACACCTTGTGATGGTCTTTGTGTGCGTTGAAGCATTTCTCATCAAGAAGCACGACGTCCCATAGACCGTCGAATTAATGGACTCATCGGGGTCGGGGAGACCGGCTCCGCCGTCGATTTCCGCGAGCGCAAGCGAGCGGCAAAACGCAACACGCTCTGCCTTGTTCTCGTCCGTCAGCAGGGGTTTAATCCGAGTTGAACGTTGCTCGAATGTTCCTCCCTTGAGGTGGCGATTCAAGGTGGCAGGCGAGAGACCGGTGGCGGCGGTAAGCTACCTGAAAGTTGAGCGCTGTTCGACTGGGGCTGTTTGAACGAGTTCATGGACGTACTGGGCCGTGCAGGTTAGTTTGGGTCCAACGCTTCCACGCATTTTGTTGGACGTGGTGCCGCGGTCGCAAAATTTGCGCCAGATATAGCCGACCGTTTGTGCGGGGGCTCAGACTCAGTTTCTCAGCGACTTGCTTGTACGCACCGCGCTGCAGTTTGCCCTTGACGAGAAAGGGATGATGGTGTTGGATGACCGCCACTTTTACGTCCCTCGATAGCTCTCGGTGCGTGCGTTTGACTTGATCCTCCATGGCGGTGAATTCAAATTTGATGCGATATGAGTGTGTGGTGTAGTGTTAATTGAGTGGTTCAGGTTTCGAGGCGATTTCTGGCGACGAATTTGTACTCCTGGCGCTTGGCATCCAATAGTTTGTGTCTGTAGTTTTTTATGTACTTTAAATAATGATGTTGTATTTCGAAGAATAATTTGAATTGAATAATTGGGATCGGGGTGAAGTCGTAACGACACTGTATTGTGATGAGCAAATGTAGGCCAGCTGACGTACTCATGGTAATTGGACGTTATCACGACAAATGTGGCCCAATCAGAGTTTATCAAGCACCATGAACCAATATCAGCAATGACGTGGCGATCAAGTACATTCGAATCGATAGGCATACAATGTTAATTCGTCCGAGGAGCTTCACAACGCTTTCTTTTTTGATAGGGTCGTTTTTTTTGCACCACGACGTTGACGAATGAGTCGAGCAACCGTCACAACTTTCAGCTGATCAAATCGACGCTGGCGTTCGAGAGGTATGGTTGAAAGGAGCACATGCAAGCCACGAACGGCGACTTCACACGATTCGACAACGTTGCGTTCATTCCAACTTGCAGGTAGGCCACACTCACAACTCTCTATGAATCGATCTGACAGCTCCACCATGACCAGCTTCCATTCCGAGAGAATTCGCCGCTGCTTCTTGGTGCTGAGGTCGCGCGGGTAAATGGCGTTGAACGGGACTTGTTTTAATCGATCGTTGCCAAGCCACCAAAGTGCCCACGCTGTCGCTGTGTCGGCCTGGGGGAACTCAAATTCTTCTGGAAGCTTGTGCATTCGACCGCCCCACAAATGCAAGTATGTTACCCGCTGACCTTGTTCGCCATCAAGTAGTGGCCCGTGATCATCTGACTGCTGACCAACACCGAGTCCTTGTAGCGCGTCAACGATGGTTTGCCTTCGCCAAGACCGATGAAGAACAAAAACGTAATCGTCAAGGTAGACAAAGTTACGTATTAGTCCTCAATTACACAGGTCATGTTCCTGTGCGCCATTGCTAAGCCCCGCTGGAATAATACCAAATATCCTGATGGTACGGCAAGATTGGCTGCTGGCCAATGACAATAGTCGTACTCGCCGCCAGAAACTAGCACAGCGCCAATGGAACATTGATGACCACACCTCTTGTAGTCACGCGTGATGTCGACAAGAGTGTGATCTTAGAAAAGGTCGTACCGTCAATAAAGTCAAACGGCCCCTTCATGACTCTAGAGAAATATATCTCCAACTAGGCAACGCACGCCCACACGTACCTCTGGACGATGTCGACATTCGAATCGCTAGTACATCGGACGGATTTGCTATCTCCAGCCCATGTCATCCCACCAACTCGACACCAGCATGCTGGATCTTGGGTTTTTCGTATCTTACAATCCAACCAAGTGAAGCTACATCCATGGTCAATGGACGACATTGTCACCAAAGTACTTGCCGCGTGGAGTGACGAGCATTGAACGACGCTGCTTACCAACTTTCGCACGCTACGCAACTAGATCGAGATCCTCAAATATGGTGGCGGCAACGATTTCCGCGTCCCCCATCCGAAAAAGTGCCAGCTGGAGGGCCAAGGCTGACTGCCCGAAGAACCACTGAGTCCTGCCGAAGTTGTGCCCGCCCATGTCCTTCTCACCGCCGTCTCACTCCACACCGCGTCCGGCGAGGTGGAATGAGCTCTGGCGTCGAGCGATGTCGTGCTGTGCAATGCTCTCGAAGAAATGCAAATTGGTATCGATGATATCGACGAGTTCGATACTGATTCATTTATTGAGAGTATTAAGCTTCGAGTATTTCCTGGAAAGTATGTATTCGATTTGACAGGTACGTTTGTTCATAAGGAGTATGCAATTGGTGTCGAAACTTGCCGAGTATCAATTGAGAAAGGTATTTTGGCGCATCAAATCATCACCATGGATATTGACCGTCGCCTGGAGTAATTGGTATGATGTTCTATGGTATTAAAGTTTGAACTGCTTCAACACTGACTCTAGACAGACGTGAGATGACTCGGATATCATGTCATAGAAGAATTTTATAGCTGCAGCTTTTGGAACATGTCACTTGTTGGTACGACGTCATCATTTATCCGTACCAAAAGAACTGGTTCTTCCAATTTATCTCAGAAGGAGGTAGTACCAGGAACTCAAAGGCAATATAATCTTCATTTTGAGGGCGTAGAAATTATTTTGACTGGTTCTTCTAAAATTTTTGGCTGGTTTAAAAGTCCCGATGAACCGTGTCCTTAAATTCAACGTCGAGCCATGGCCTACATCAGATACACCAACGCCCAGCGCAAGAACTACATTGAGGGATTCGATTCAGGCACGATGTCATCCAGAGGATACGCCAGTGGCCAAATCATCGACTGGAAAACCTGGCGCAACTGGTTGAGCCGAAAGGACCTCATCATGAACAAACCATGCAACGCAAAGAAGTACACGCTAAGCGCACAAATCTTGGGAGGTCATGCCATGTGAAATCATTGCTCGCTCACTTGATAAATGCGGACTCTTGTAATGTAGCTTGTCACTTGAAATTACATTTCATTTTCGAAAATTTGTAGTTTTCAGAAATAATGTAGTATCGATTGCTGGTCGTCGCGAACGTGGCTGAGTATGAAGCGTTCCAAATTTCTACCAATCATTGTGGATATGGTACTTCAATTCCACAACAGCTTGAATGTACAGTCAATTTTCGTTGAGAGAATTCCACAACAGCTTGAATGTACAGCCAATTTTCGTTGAGAGTATTTGAATATGATGTGTCCATTGAAGTAATCGATGGCTGGCTATGGCTACAGTGATTCACCGACGTTTGCAGC